GCGTCGCGACGCCCCGCACGTTCTCTACTTCCGTTTTCTGTCTTCCACGCGTTTCCCATGAATCGAGTTCCTCCGTTGACGTCTCTGGTTCCTTCGTTTCACCCTCTTGTACCAACCAGCCCTGTTCCTACGGTTCTTCCCTGTACGATTTCCCGAGGAAGCTTTCTTCGACGCTTTAACCGAATGGAACTGTCACCTCGTTTTTCAGGTGGACATCACCGAGCTGTGTCCCTCGGCCACGGTACTGGCGCAGCAATTGACCCACGTGGAACTCGAGAGGCTCTCTTACATCGGCCCTGAAGAATTCGTCCAAGCATTCGCCAAGGTACGTGCCCATGCTCTCTTTCGTTCTGGATCGAGGCAAACTTCAATCCAGGAAACCAATCTTCGAACACGAATTTAAAGAAAAAAGGATCCCCCAAAATAAGGAAAAATTTGTTTGATGTAAATACGGCAAAATATTGTTTAAGATAAAGTTAGGACCTGAAATGTACGGGTAGGTACAAGGAAATTTAAAGCAATTCAGAAATTTGAAATTTAATGTAAAATAATACCAGAAAATACAACGCACTTTATTCATACATATTCTTCATATATCACTCATACACGCACGCATAGATACACTGTTATGTGATGACAAATCTCAAGAAAATTGATGTACCGATGTCAACTCATGAGTTGGCGCACGAAGAGGCTGACCCGGGTGTTCAGGAGAGCTATGGTCAATTGGTCAGAATGAAAAAATGAATGCCTACTCTCACACGTATTTTCGGAGGAAGCAATTGGCTCGCATGTTAATTAGACCAAAAGAAGTGACAGTCAGCACACATCTCAAAAGTGAGTGAGGTAGTACGACTTGCGTGACGTAGTTATGCGTTCATGATGTGTTCGCGGTGAGGATAGGCGTAACACCGTTTGCTTTGGGTCAAACTCTTCACCAACTCATGGGTTGAAGTCTATAGATGCTGTGAATTTGTAGAAAAGTATTTGTAAGAATTTCAAGTTAATCATAAACCTTGATTTTTTGCACAGGAATCTCCGCACCTAGAAACATCTTTTAAGGACATGAAGAAAACGCGTAATCTAGAATCGTACGTCCAATGGTTTAATAGACTGAGCTATTTCGTAGCAACTGAAGTATGCAAGGTAATTTTAAATATTTCAAATTCATGATTTGCATTGAGAATAAATATGTATAATAAGTTTGATGCAATCTTAAAATGTAAACGCAAACAAATGTGATATTAATTATATGATGAAGTCACAAAAATTTCACTAAATTCTATTTCATTTTATATTTATGAAAAATGAAAAAAAGATTTAAAAAATTTTTAATGATTAACGTTTTTAACTAATGATTACAGCTAAACTTTTGATTAAGAAAATTTTAATTTATAAAAATATAGTCACGAAAATATTATGAAATTTGTATTATTTATAATTCGTTTCATCGCTCATTTTCATTCGGTATATTATTAATGATGATTATTATGAATGAAACATTGCATTTGTTGTTTTATAGCATGCAAAAAAGAAACAACGCGTTCGGGTGGTTGAATACTGGATTGAAACAGCTCGAGAATGCTTCAACATCGGTAATTTTAACTCTCTAATGGCTATCATCGCTGGTCTGAACATGTCCCCCATATCTCGTCTAAAGAAAACGGTAAGTTTCAATTTTATTTTAATTATTATTCAATTATTAGTCTTATATTTCTCTCATTGTGACATTAAAAGAATATTGTATCATAGCATTACAGTTTATAAATATTAAATATGTGATAACATTATGTGTTTATGAAAACACTGCACGACTTAAAAAATTATATTCTTAGTAATTTAGATTGTACGGTAAATTAACACTAAGGTTCATTCACTATCCTATTTTGGTTTACGTAAATACTTGATTATGCAAAAAAGACGCCATTGGAACCGCAAAGGTTCAGTATAAAAAAGAAATGCAATTATTCAAATTTCAGATCTGAAATTACAAAATTTTAATTTTATGTATAATTTTTATTCAATTCTTTAAACTCAAATGTGTGAGTGATTTTTTACTAAAAAATTGTTCGTAATATTTAATATTCTATTTTGTTTAGTCAAATATTAAATAAAATATATCTAAAAGGTCTCAAATTTGATTAACTTGCATTAAAGCTACTAACACTCATACTTAATAATACTATTATTATTAATAAAGTATTATTTCAGTATCATAATAATTTTGTAATGTTAGAATCATTTTGTAACACGTATGAAATTTTCACTAAAAATTGAAAAACGCAATAAAATGACATCAAATTTAATTAAATTACACTAAGTTAAATGAAGTTAGATTGAATTACATCAAATGAAATTGAATTGTCGTTTTAAACTTAAATTGCTTGTCACTTTGATTTCAATAGATTGAATTGGAACGTGAATTATTGTTGTTTTAAACTTATTAGTATATTAATAACTCATTCGTAAAATGCATAAAAGTATGAAATTTTAATTTATAAAATTTATAAAATTTGTAAAATTATTAGTATAATACTAAATTACTATTAGTATTACACTAACGATATAATATAATTGTAAAGTATAACTTTTACCCTGATTTGGAAAAAATTTGCATTCTATCTCCTCAAAATATTTTATTAAATTGTAGAACTTCAATCGTCAATAAACTCTCTCAAGGTGGTAACATTAAACCTGCCAAAATCAAATGACAGTTTTAAAAATTTCTAATTTTAAATTACAGAATCTGTCAAATTAATTTTCTTGAAATCTATGTTAATTTTTCTCAACTTTTTCTGAACTGATGTGTATAATAATTTATGTTCTATTTTCTGATCATTTATTTTTCAACTTCATTTTTAATTTCAGTATAAGTATGCATTGGTAGCTTCAGTATTAAAGAAATTAAAAAGATGAATGATTAATCGCTACAAATAGATAAAATTTTGCAAATGTAAAGTTAGAAATGTGTGTGACGGAACGAACAATGTAACTGATGCAGTTTTACGATATTTTCGGCTATGGCGATCGTCGTAGACGCCGACGTCCAGTCGGAAAGCGTTAATACGACGACAACGGATCGAATTGGGCCACGCTCGTTTGCACCCCCATAGAGGGGGTGTGCACAGCAATAAGCGGTCTGTAATCCTCGTAAATCGAGCGTGGCGCCGCGACGACCAGCGTCGCTCGTGACGAATCGCTGAAAATCAAATTTTCACATCGCTGGTCGAGTGCGAAGAACAGTTTCGCGAGCAAATCGCGGCGATGAAACGAAATGGGCGAAAATGAACGAGCAGAGACGGAGAAAACGGGCTGGAGGACTGTTTTAATTGAATTTTAACGTTCTATTTTGCAAGTTCAATTGAAATGTAGGAGGAAACCGAGTTAATTGAAGAAGTCAAGAATCTATGGGGTTTTAATTGTTCCAATTTCTTGTTAACTCAAGGTGAAAAGTCATAATACGATCTATAAATCAAATTACGGTTTGACCGAAAACAATGACTGTAATTAACTGCAAGTTAATTTATGTTCCTGAATCTCAAAATATGTGAACTGCAAATTTTTTTACTAAGAATTTAAAAACGATATTAATCATGTAGATTATGTCGAGTAATAATATCGATTAAAATTTTTAATTTGATTATCGTGGTGATTGGGTATTTAATTTTGATTGATTTGATCCGCTTGTATTATATGCAATTTGGTTTTCTTCTTTGTGTGGACAATTGATTATGTGGAATTTTTAAGAAATATAAAATTTTTTTTTCAACTGTTTGACTATATTCAGGCTTTCCTTTCTTCGTTAATATATTTTACAGTTTTTTCGTGTATATTTTTTATATAAAATGATACATATTTGAAAATAGCGCACCTTTAAATTTTCAAATTCTCAAACTACGAAAATGACTATCTATCACCGTTACAGTTATTCATAAAATTTTACGCTATTATGAGAGGAATACGTGTGCTGTCACTGTTTAATATAAAAAATGACTGAATAGTGAAAAACTACGATATTGGTATTGAAATAAAGGTCGAGTTATAGCGGTATAACGTTGTCACGTATGCTGTCAACAATTTGTGAACTGAAACAAAGCATACCAGGAGATAAATAAAATACTATTTCATCAAAGACGAGCGAACTTCATGGATGATTCAGTGAAACAAACAATTCGGTGTTAAACAAAAGCCGGGCGTATCGCGAATTTATTGAAGAGCGAAAAACGAGAACACTGCATTCCGATCCGTGACACTGACAAAATAATCGAAACACATATCCTTTCAAACGATTTCGTTTCCTTTGAAAAATAATACAAAAGAGAGAGGGTACTCCCGTCACTCTTTCGCGATATTACTTCCTGGAATATAAAACAATCTTGTACTCTGCCATTTTTGTTTCTTTTATAATAAAATTCCACTAGAGGCACAACAATGTTTTTCGAAAAATGCGGGGATTATTAAAATTGCAAATAAAAATAGAAGTCAATAAATAATTACGGAAAAATATTGGTACAAAAATTTTTTCATAGAAGATTTCAGATAACCACTCACTTTCAAGTTTTTATAAACGCAATCTTAAGAGAAATTTAAAAAGCTTGGTAATTTAACGTTAAAGAAAGTTTTTTCGTTTACGTGGATTAACTTTTATTCTGGAAAGTGTTATTTTAAACTTTATGTGAAACTTTTATTAGCAAAACCTGCAACTAACTGGGAAGCTGGAGATTGCAGGAATATCGGGAATAAAAATCAGAAAGCAAATTAATATGCCAAATTTATTACTCATATTCTTTTCTTCTTGAATATTCATTAACCATTGGGATTAACGAAAGTAATTAGAATTTTATAATAAGAAGCTTTCGGCTTAAGCTGCGCAAGAATATTTTATTAAAATTGATCCTATTATATTCTGATTTCTCTTAAATTGCAGAATTTATTAAAGTACATTAGTATATAGAGATATATCCTTCTTCTTATATTTATTTTAGGTTGATATATCAAATTTCATAATGCAAACGATGTTACTCTAATATTGTACAATATTGAATGCTATACAGATTCTGATAGTTTCGCTCTTTGAAATTCAAAGTTTTTAATTGAGGTGTTACGGAATTAGTATAAAATTTATGTCTATTTAGACACTTTTAAAGTATTTTAAAATATATTATTAAGTATATATATATATTAGCACGAGAGTATATACGTATGTAATATTAAGTATATACAAAGACGCTTTTAAGTGTATTTTTTGATTGTACATTACGATTGCGTTATTAACATAAATCGAGTTTCTATTAATACATGTTGATGTAGTGTTTAGTGGTAATATATTGGTTAGTAAAATGCAGTACGTGATAATTCAACACGTCGTAATATAACACGAAGTAATGTAACACACAGTAAATTAACGCGCAGTAATACAGCGAGTGGTTATACAACGCATAGTAATATAGTGGGTAGTTATACAGCGTGTAGTAACTTAACGCGTGGTCATTTAGTGCGTGATAATTTACCACGTCGTAATTTAACGCGTGATAATTCCACACGTGGTTATTCAACGCTTGGTAATTTAATGCGTGGTAATTCAACGCGTGATAATTCAACGCATGATATTTCAGCGCATGATAATTTACCACGTGGTAATTTAACTCGTGATAATTCCACGTGTGGTTATTCAACGTGTGGTAATTCACCGCTTGGTAATTCAACGCGTGGTAATTCAACGCATGATAATTCAACGCATGAAATTTTAGCGCGTGATAATTCAGCGCGTGGTAATTTCGGCGCATGATAATTCAGCACGTGGTAATTCAGCGCTTGATAGTTTAACACACATTAATTGTATGTGTAATTCAGCGCGTAGTAATTCAACGCGTGGTCATTTATCGCGTGGCAATTAAACGCGTGGTAATTCAACATATGGTAATTTAATGCGTGATAGAATAATGTGTAGTAATACAATATATAGGAATACAACGAATAATTTAATGCGTGTTAATGCAACGCGAAGTAACACAACGGATAGTAATTTAATGCATAGTAATACAGCGCGTGGAAATATATACATATTAACATAACCCATCGCAACATCACGTGTATTAAGCGTAAAAATTTCTATAAACTAAATTATCCGTAGAATGTCTTTTAACACACAACAAATAAAAACAGTATTACACATCAAACATTTACAATTCTTCACTATCATCCTCCAAATAACTTTTAATTAAAAAAAGGAACCGTGTGGAAAATAAAAATACACAGTGCAAATATTCACAAGCGAATTGTAGAGAATGCTCGGACGTTATCTGATTCTGAATTTCAAAAACACGCGATTCGTTACAAATGGAGCTCCAATTTTCCCAAATGTTCGCGGCAATACGAAAAAACAGAACTGTTGAAAACCCGACAGTCCTGTAACATAGGTATTAACACAGATTCCGAAGATATCGTATCAACGATCCGATTTAAATGGAAATATTTCGGTTGCGGTCGAGTCACGGTTTCATCGCGAATTGGATTAAACGGGATGATGGTGAACGAAAATGGAACAGCCATTATGACAAATAAAATGAAGAATTTTTTTTCTCCCGGTTGAATTTCGCGTCGTGGCTTATATATATAAAAATATTCATAAATATTCCCGCTGCCTGCGGTGTTCGAAATAAAAAA